ATAGCAAAATAAATCCAACAACTCAAAAACTATCGGTTCACAAACAGCCAAGTTAAGTAGGATCTTTCACAATAGTCTTTCAATTACTATGCCTCCAATAAGAATGATTTCTTCAGAAGTTTTTGAAAAATTTATACATGAGGAAAAAAATCAACGCACTAGACCAGATTTCATATTTTATTTTTAACGCATCTTGTATTCAGGGTCCTACCAAAATGTCCATCTGAGAAGTTTTGCCATGAAAATCCCAGATCTTTATTTCATAACATCATAGTGAGATTAAGATATAACAGGGCATATTTGTACACAGCTGGCACTTTGACAAACCTCCAGATTAAATTAAGCAGAAAGAACAAGAGTATTAACGGCCCTGGGAAGGAAATCTGGTGGCAGGACCATCAAACAGCACTTCACAATTTTAACTGCTACTAAAAAGTGTTGCAGGTTCATTCCACCAGGGGGCAGTGTTGTCTAACTATTAACACAACTGAACGCGAATAAAACTTTGCACTTTCTAAACATTTCTTTCTAAGCTTTCAGAAGGAAAAAAATATATATTCTTTGAAGGAAAACCTTGAAATCTTTACTTTAGATATCTGTAATTAGGTTAAAATTAAAGGACGGTCTGTTTCTCAAAATCATCTTGTGCCTGTGACTGTATCATACCTTTACGGCTAGGATTCTCCTAAAAGAAATGAAGACACTCACCACACCTAGTTTCCACAATCTGACCAGGGCTGCTTCAGTTCTGACCAGAACCCTTATTCTCATTGGTGGCCTGATGCTGAAGTTCAGAGAAGTGGTGATCAGTGACAGCTGGAACCCTAATGCTTCATCACAAATTTCAAACCCGTTCGTGATGGCCATTGTATTAAATATCTACCCTATTATTCCCAAAAAACATTCTCATGTAGCAGGAAATACACCCCAAATGTTGGTTTGCGAGAAACAGTTACCATGCTGTCACAGTGACAAAGCCCCAAGTGGGCTGCTGAAGGGCAAGGCACCTAGAGGATAGAGAGTACACTCCTAGAGATACTTAGGAAACAGCCACCATCTACCCTGAGTAATTCCAACAATAGTATGATCATTAAAAAAATAAAATAAATTTTTGGTTTAATTGCAACTTTATAAACACACACACACACACACACACACGCACACACACACACACACTCCCTTCTTCTCCTATTTCAATGCATTCAATTACCTCCAAATTGCTAGATGCTTCAGTCTTTATCAGACTGGACTCATCTGTGATATGTCTCTGCAATTACTGCCTCCTTTTGAAAATCCTCTCTCTTTTGTTTTCCAAATATCCTTCTGTTAAAATTTCCCTTCTCTATTTCTGGTTGATACTTCTAAATTTCTTACTTTGCCAGCCTGTTCTGCAAATTTTTTTTCTTTAGAATGCCAACTTCTGATTTCTTTTCATTTTCCACATGATTCCTGGGCAATCATATCCACTTCTAAAATGTCTTCTAAGCTCCAACAGCCAAAGACTTCAGACCTGCACCCACAGACCCAGAAGCCAGTCTGGCCCTTGCAGGCCTCCCAGGAGCCAGGCCAGCCTCAGGGTCCTCATGCTCTATAGAACCCAGGGTCCAGACCTGCTCCAGCAGACCCTGGGGCCACATAAGCTGCCACGAACCCAGGACCCAGGCCCATCCCTAGGGACTCAGTCTCCAGGCAGGACCCAGTGCCAGTGGACTCAGGATCTAGGCCTGCCCCTAGTGAACCTTGGGTCTAAGCATCAGGCTGGACTTCATGGACCTAGGCTCCAAGGCTGTCCATCCAGGCCCAGGTACCAAAATGGTCCCACAAACTAAGGACCCTACCCATTACCACTATAGAATCAGGCTCTAAACTCACCCTAATGACAGGCCATCCACTGTGAACTCAGGCTCCTAGCCCATTCCTATGGGTCTAGGTACCAAGCCCATCTTAGCACCAGGCTGGCCCCTGCAGATCCAGGCCTATCCTCACAAACTCAGGCTCTAGGCCCAACCCAGCAGACACATGATACAGGCCCACCACAGTAAACCCAGGCTCCAGGCCTGAACCTGAAAATCCAGGCTCTAAGCAAACCCCAGTGGAGCCAGGAATGAGCCTGCCCAAAGGCTCCAATAGCAAGCCCACACACATTCCCTTCCAGATGAGGGATCATAAGATCATCTCAATGGACTCATAAACAACATTTGAGAAAATTCAAGACCCTTTCATGATTTAAAAAAAAAAAAAAAAAAAAAAAAACTCTCAACAAATTAGGTAAAGAAGGAACGTACCTCAGCATAATAAAGACCCTATGTGACAAGCCCAGAGCTAACATCACACTCTTAAGAAACAAGGCCAGGCTGCCTAATCTCATCACTTCTGTCAACATAGAACTAGAATTCCTAGCCTGAGTAATTAAGCAAGAAAAAGAAATAAAAGGCAACCAAATTGAAAAGGAGTAAGTAAATGGTCCTTTTTTTTTTTTTTGCAATTGACATTGATTTTATGTATAGAAATCCTAAAGATTCCACCAAAAAATTGTTAAACTAATAAATTAGTAAGGTTGCAGGATACAAAATCAACATACAAAAACCAGTACCAATTCTATACAATAAAAAGAAGCTATCCAAAAAAGATATTTTTAAAAAATCTCATTTATAGTACCTATAAAAAGTAGAACACTTCAGAATAAATCTGACCAAAATGAATGAAATGTACACTGAAAACTATAAAACACTAGTGAAAAAAGTTGAAGTGACAAAAATAAATGGAAAGATAACCCATGTTCAAAGATTTTAAAAAATGTTAAAATGTCCCTATTACCCAAAGCAATCCACAGATTCAATGTAATGCTTATAAATATTCCAATGGCATTTTTTTGCCGAGATAGAAAATCAATTCTTAAATTCATATGTAACCAAAAAAGAACCCAAATAACCAAAGCAATTGGGTACAAAACAAAAAAAGCTGGAGGCACCACATTACTTAACTGTAAAATATACTATGAAACTATGGTAACCAAAACAGCATGATACTAGAAAAAAAAAAATCTAAACCAATGGAACAGAATAGAGAGCTCATAAATAAATCCTTACATTTACAGTCAATTAATCTTTGACAAAAGTATCAAGAACACACAATGGGGAAAGAACATCAATGAATGGTGTTGGGAAAACTGAATATCCACATGCAGAAGAATGAAATTGAACTCTTATTTCACAATATATACAAAAATCAACTCCAAATGGATTAAAGAGTTAAATGTATGACCTGAAATTATAAAATTACTAGAATAAAACACAGGAAAAAAGGCTTCTTGACATTGGTCTACGCAATGATTTTTTGTATATAACACCAAAAACACAGGCAACAAAAGGAAAAATAGAAAATTGGGATTGCATCAAAGTAAAAAGCTAACACACAGCAAAAGAAACAATTATCAGGGTGAAAAGACAGTCAACAGAATTGGGTAAATATTTGGCAAACTATGTATCTTATAAGCAATTAATCTCTAAAATATAAATTTGTATACATTTTATTTGTCAAACAACTCAATAGCAAGAAAACAAGTAAACCAACTTAAAAATGGGCAAAGGACTGCAACAGACATGTCTCAAAGGAAGACATACAAATGGACAACAGATAAATTTTAAAATATTGAACATCAGTAATCATCCAGAAAAAGAAAATGAAAACCACAGTAAGGTATCACCTTGAATCTGTTAGAATGGCTAATATCAAAAAGATAAAGTACCAGATGCTGGAAGCATGTAGGAAGAAGGGGGACTCTGTACACTGTTGGTGGAAAAGTATGGAAGTTCATTTTAAAAAGTAAAAATAGAACTACCATATGATCCAGCAATCCCATTTCTGTGTATTCCCAAATTCTTTGCAGCTTTATTCACAAGAGCTAAGATATGAAATTGACCTCAGTGTCTATGGATTGACGAATGGATGAAAAAAAAAGTGGCATATATATACACAACAGAATACTATACAACCTTAAAAATAAACCAGAAAGTCCCATCATTTGTGACAAAACAAATGAACCTGGAGAACATTGCACTAAGTGAAATAAGTTAGGTACAGAATGACAAATACTGCAATGATCTTATGTATATGCAGAATCTTAAAATGTGGAGCTCATAATAGCAAAGAGTACAATGATGGTTACCAGGGGCTGCAGCAGGGGAGGAGGAAGAGAAGATGTTGGTTATTCATCTCATTTCAGTTAGATGAGATGAATAAATTCTAGGGATCTGTCAGACAGCATGGTGCCCATAATTAATAATGTATTATACATTTGAAAATTGCTAAAGGAGTAGATCTTAAATGTTCTCATCACAAAAAAGTACATAAGGCAAAGACTATGTTAGTTTGATTTAATCATATCGCAATGAATATGTGTAAAGATATAATGTTGTACACCATAGATATATAAAATTTTTATTTGCCAATTATATCTTAATAATGCTGGAGGAAATAAAAAAAAACAGAAAAGGAGGGAGAGAAGCCTTTAACATTTATTTTTAAATAAAATAAAATATCTTTCCCCTAGCCCAGACCTGAATACCCACCAGCCTATTCAATATCTGCATCTCAATGTGCCATGGGCATCTCCAATGCAACATGTGCCAAAATGTCAGCATTCTTCCACCTCATCCCAAAATCTGCTCCTCCCTCAAACCACTACATGTTGAAGGGCACTCCCATCCATCCACCTGCCCAAAGCAGAAACCACCCTCAACCCCTTCACCTTCCTTTCTTCCCGTATCTAATCAGTTACCAGTATCAGCAATCCCTGCAGTATGTCTCGTCTTCCATATCTCCAGTGCCTCAGTTCAGGTCTTCATTGTGTGTCCCTTGCATTCCTGTACCACTTTTAGGCAGAGATGCAGTTGGTTTACCCCACTAACCATTCCTCTTCTTCCCTTAGTGATAGAACCCCTCCATTTTTAGCAGGGCACACGGCCATTGAACAAATATTTTCAACCTTTCTCTTACAGGTAAATGTGATCATGGCATGACATAGGGGCAACAAACTCTAACTAGAAGTCTTCCATGGCAACTACTTCAAAATAAAAGCAAGTCCTCACTTAACATTGTAGATTAGTTCTTGGAAACCAAGACTTTAAGCAAATCGACCTATAGTAAGTCCTCAAATAACACTGTTTTGTTATCTTGATAAGAAAATTGGTTTTGTTACACATCCTATACGTTTCGTTTGAAGCTGCAGTTTCCAAAAATTTATCAAGGACATTAAGGACGTACCATATCCTTATATTACAGCTAGTGCATACCCCTTTGCCCTTGTGATTCCTGCCCTCTGCATTCCTGCTCTCAGGAATGTGGAGTTCAAGTAACCACAGCAGAAGATGAGAAAATCTGGGAGGATGGCAGACCAACTAGCCCAAAGTAGTCAGCACCTGCGATACTGTGGAAGCAATATGCAAGCTCTGAATCATTTAACTGAATTCTTTCATGGAGGAGAACTTTTATTTTTTCTAAGCCACTGGTGTGTGGGTGTGGGCAGGAGGGCATGTGTATGTATATATGTGTGCTTGCTAACAAGGTTTACTACCTCCAATCTCACCTCTCCATAACCAGAATCTCTACATTGCTTTCTGACTGATTTCCTAAACCCCAAATGTGGAGAATCAATCCATTTTTTTAAAAAAAAAATTAATAAAATACACTCTTAAAGCATGCTTTAGACCATTCATAATCTAGTCCCTGCCTGCTGAAGTCTTCTAGTTCACTGCTCCCTCTTGACACCAGCTGCTCTGACCAAGCCATGGCCTACATAGCAACACAACTTTATATGTGCTTCTGCCACTGTCAAAATATCTTTCTTCGCAGCACCCATTCTAAATTATCTACAAAAACTCTGCTCAGATGTCACCTCTTCCAAGAAGCCTTCTTTCCATCCTGGCTGAGGCACAAATTCATAGCCTCCCAAGGCCTCTGTTCTTACCTCTACTGTAGCAGGCATCTGTGTTAGAATCATCTTATTACTTGTCTAATTCTCCAACCAAACTTCACAGTCAGGATGCATGCTTCATCTCTCTCTCTCTAGCCCAGCAAGTGCAGGTATTCACTGAATGCATGTTGAAAAAGTAAATTCTTTCAGGAATGTGCTGAAGGAAGTTTCTGGCATCTGGTAACTGACATATTAATAAATGAAAACCTTGGTTCTTTGCCCAGGACTGTTTCCAGTACGTCAGCATTTCCCCAACTGTGTTCCAATGACATCCATTTAGAAAATGTGAATAATGTGTGGGTTTCCAGCCATGCGACACAGCTTTCAATTCCACTAACCTGTCAAACTGACACCACTCTCAAGGCCTCTGACCCCACCCTTTTGGTCTTCTACCTGGAGGGAGGGCACTGGACCTGCACCCTCCCCCTTCCCTGGTTCCCACTATTCAGCCATCATTCCCAAGTGCCAGTTCAGACCCAAGAAAACTATCTGCTCTTGCAGTAATTAAAAAAAATATATATATACACACACACACACACACACACACACACACACACACACACACAAACATATATATATATATATATTTATTTATTTATATTTATATTTTATTGCACTTTGGGTTTTGGGGTATGTGTGCAGAACATGCAGGATTGTTGCATAGGTATATACATGGCAATATGGTTTGCTCACTCCATCCCCCCGTCACCTATATCTGGCATTTCTCCCCGTTATACCTCCCCAACCTCCCTAGCCACCACTGTCCCTCCCCTATCCCCTCCCAATAGACCCCAGTGTGTGATGCTCCCCTCCTTGTGTCCATGTGTTCTCATTGTTCAAGGCCCACCTATGAGTGAAAACATGCGGTGTTTGATTTTCTGTTCTTGTGTCAGTTTGCTGAGAATGATGGTTTCCAGATTCATCCATGTCCCTACAAAGAACATGACCTCATCGCTTTTTACAGCTGCATAGTATTCCATGGTGTATATGTGCCACATTTTCCTTGTCCAGTATATCATTGATGGGCATTTGGGTTGGTTCCAGGTCTTTGCTATTGTAAACAGTGCCAAAATGAACATACATGTGCATGTGTCTTTATAATAGAACGATTTATAATCCTTTGGATATATTCCCAGTAATGGGATTGCTGGGTCAAATGGAATTTCTATTTCTAGGTCCTTGAGGAATCACCACACTGTCTTCCACAATGGTTGAACTAAATTTACACTCCCACCAACAATGTAAAAGCATTACTATTTCTAATAATCCTCTAAAACTTGGCTAAAGACTACCCTGAAACTCACCAGTCTCTACAATTTTCTTAAATCTCCTTTCTACAGATAAGGGTTTTGCCTCTTGTATTTTTTTAGCATTAGTCCCTATCTTCACAATTTTCAAAGAATATCTAAAGTGGATATATAATGTACCTGCAAACATGCTCAGCTTCTTAGGATATTATCCCACAGAGTTTAAACTCAGACAAAAGAAGCCAGGGGATCTCTTTCTGGGCTTCAGCTTCTTCTAGCCATGTTTGTTCTGTCCTTTCAAACAAGGTGACTGTGCTCCTTGTCAGAGAAATGCCAGCCAGGAAGGAGTTTCAGATCTCTGTTTTATCTCAGAAATCTCTTAGCATTACCTCACACACCCTTAGAAAGGAGCCCAACCTTTCCTTGTTCTCTTTCTTTTTCTAACACGACACAGTTATTGCCCCTGAACTGTGAGAACCGGATTGCTCAAGGTACCATCCAAGAGCTACCTGAATCTGAATCATCTGAGGAGCTCATTCAATACTAGATTTCTGAGTTAAACAGAATCACAATTACTGAAGTGAGTTTCAAGAATCTGCATTTTTAACAAGCATGGAAAGCATCAAAGGTGGTAGCAGATCCTCTGCTTGCAAGGTGGGGCAGGGCACGCCCGGGGCAGCCAGGATCCCCAGAAACCATCACCTGTAGCCCGAGGCCACTGTTTTCCTTCACTTCCCCGTGCAATACAAAGAGTGCAATTTTCTAAGTGCGCAATGAAGTAAAAAATATTCATGAAGTTTCTATAACTTCCTAGAAAACTACTATATTAGTATGTCTAGGGCAGCTTCACAACAATCATTTTCAGAATTTCTACAGAACAATCTAATGTGCTCTGATGCTCAAAAACCATTGCTTTAAAATAGCAACTCTCAACTCCTTAAGGGCAAAACTACCTTTTCATAGCATTTTGCAATGCCTCCTTGTCTATTATCCTAAAGTGAAATCCATAAACAATGTAACTGCCTAAATATAAAATTCAAAATAATCCATTAACTCAAAGGGGAAACAAAATTGAAATGATTTTCATTACATACGTGCTCAAATTAGTCAGTACACTTGCTTGTACTGAAAGGAGAATCATGCTGAAAGCAAGATTCGAGTGTAGACTGATACAGGCGTACTGAAATGGTGACTCCAGAGCATGAGCACTGCTTTCTTGGATATGATACTTTGCAATGGCAAACAATTTTTAGTAAATTTGCAAAGAAAACAAAGTGTAATCTTCTCTTGGTTCACATGGTGGTTATAGTGCTAGAAAACTCCCTGATATTTAAAACCATGCAAAAAACATTTTATTTACATATCCTAAGGACAGATAATTAGAATCATATTTTTCCCCTACATGAAAGTCCAACAGGACATTCAAGGTCATGCAGCCTGTAGATAGTTCTTCCTGGTGTGACACCATCCCAGGACTAAAAGTTGTCTAGCATCCCTGGTCACTACCTATTAAAGGTCAGTAGCCACCCGCCCCTCATCCTTAATTACTATGATAATTAAAAATACACCCAACCGTTCAACCTCTCCAAACAATACGATACAGGTACCTGTGTCAGGCTGTAATATTATTTTCCCTTGTGACACTACCATACATTATAGTGACTCCAGAATCTCTACGTGATTCTACCTATACTTACGATATTTTCAAAAGCAAATATTTACATAAATTCTATCATAACAGAAATTGAATGGAATAAAAGTTTCACAGATACAAGAAACCTTCTTCAGAAATTCTTGAAAAAACAAATGCAAACTACTTTTTTTACAATCAAATCGCATTTTCCTGTTGACATATTTCAACTTCAGAAATATCTTCTCACTATTAAAATTCAATTGGCAGTGGTTCCTAAGCAGTTCAGCTCTGCATGTCAGTAAAATATATCAAACTACAGTTTAAATGTATTAAATGATTCCAAAATGTATCCTTTTAGTGTTAAAATGGTTTATAAACAGCTCAAGTAAATTACCTTTTAAAACATAATGGTTCTCAAGGCTGTATGTGCATCATAACGATCACCAGAGGAGCTGTTTAGAATTTAGAGATGCCTGGGTCAACCCTTGTCCACAGATTTTAACTGCACTGGCCTGAGTTAGGTAGAACCTAAGAATCTTTATTATTTTTAGAAAGGTCTATAGGTGATCCTCATGCTGGCAGAGGCAGATCTGGTTTTGTGGGTCCTGAAATCTATACAACTAGGGAGGGGGTGGGGAGGAGCCTCTTCAAGAAAATAGAGGAGGGACAGCGGGGGGTGGGGAGTTGGGGAGAGATAGCATGGGGAGAAATGCCAGATATAGGTGAAGGGGAGGAAGGCAGCAAATCACACTGCCACGTGTGTACCTATGCAACAATCTTGCATGTTCTTTGCATGTACCCCAAAACCTAAAATGCAATAAAAAATTAAATTAAATTAAATTAAAAATTAAAAAAAAAAAAGAACCAAAAAATGGCAGGTTTCTTGAAGACTTGGGAAAGCTTCCTGCATTGGCTTCATAGTAAATCCATCTCTGGATGCTACTCAGGGTTGCAAAGTGTGACATAATGAAACTCACAACCGGAACACATGAGCAAAACTATAAAGTCATACACTATGTATGCAGAGGCCATAAGCCTAATGTCCACAGGCTTCTGGAGATAATGTAAATGAGTAAGGCAGGCAAGGCATGAGACCACAGAAGACAGCGCAGTGGCCGAACACCTGTGTGCTGAGGGCACCAGCAATATTTCTTGTCAATGCTAATGCACACTCAGTGTTGCATTTCTGCAATTCATTAAAAGAAACTTAAAGTCTGGAAATTATATGAAATCTCCCAACTTTTAAAATTTAGCTCAATTTTTAAATAAAAC